ACCAAACTGAAACCTTTTACGAGGAATCGTGTCTGAAATTAACCACAATACTTGTGGTCAGAATGCAAAAAAAACATGGATAATAGGGGTTTCCCCTTTATTCTGGCAACAAAACAGGTTTTAAGATGTTAAAACACCAAACTGAAACCTTTTACAAGGAATCATGCCTGCATTAACCACAATAATTGTGGTCAGAATGCAAAAAAAACACTCTGATAATATATGCATTGTCCTTGAAACCGATTGGTCCACACCAGAGACAGCTTTCTTTTGAGTCTCGTCTTAAACACCGAGAGAGTGTAAAAAACGTAACATAGTGCGAGCCACGGATAACGAAAAACTGGGATGGACAGACGCGAACAGGCCAAGGCAGGCCCGCCCGGCCTGGCTGCCCGCATCAAGAACGCGCCGCTGCCACGTTTTAGTTTCTTTTATTTACTAGGTAGAACCCTGTGAGCCATGCGGCTCTTGACTCGGGTGCAACAAAACAAAAACATGAACAATAAACATCTTAAAGTGACTACACGCAACAGAAAAAAAATCCTGGAAAAAACAGCAAAGTCTTCAAGAAAAAAACACCGCATTTCAACGCTGTGTGCAAAAATTCCAGTGGGATGTAAGTCAAACAATAACAACCATAAGACAATGTAGATTAAAGTTATCAGGCCAACTCTGTACTACAACAAACAAGCATGGCCAGACCGAACCGTGCTCAAAATCACCAAAATAAAGCCACAAAGACAATGGAACAGTGATCATAGGAACTGTGATTCAAATACAACAACAAACGATATACATAACATGTACGACCAAACCCCGTAGCCATAGCTGGCTGCCTGAGTCACTCAATAACACGTTCTCTGCCAAAATCACGGCGGTCCCGCGAGATTAATGATCAATTAAGGCCGTGGGACCGCCGCTTTAACCCACAACGACTGCGTCCTTGTTTGGGTGCAGATTTCCACCCCAAGACGAGGCTCAAAGGAAAGCTGCCTCTGGTGTGGACCAATCCGTTTCAAGGACAATGGCAATATATTATCAGTGTTTTTTGTTTCAATTCTGACCACAAGCCATGTGGTTAATGCAGACGTGATTCCTTGTAAAAGGTTTCAGTTTGGTGTTTTAACATCTCAATTCCTGTTTTGTGGCCAGAGAAAAAGGGGAATACTTATTCTCATATTTTGGTACTGACAAAGGAGGTCCCATGATATACCCACAACAAGTGCATCATCATAATCCACCATGATCACCGCCATCATAACAAACAAAAATGCTCACCACCCTGCCCCGGACATCGCCACTATTTAAAGCCATGGCCTCGCAACATCATCTTTGCTGTAATTACACACGGGCCCTTCGAAAACGCCACGGGGTTGTTGTTGTTAAGCGTAAACGCGCTTGACTTAGCCGCGTGACAGCGGCCCATGGAGGCAACGTGGAAAACCACGCTGACAAACGTGGGCCGTTGCAGAGAAGCGTATAACGAAAGTACTGTAGCGTTAACAGCCGCCAAATGTAATAAACATCACAGGGCAATACACGGAGTACAGTACTTGTAACGTTATGTATAAACGTGATAACATCTTCAGGGATTATATATATTTTTTGACACTTTTCTTTACTGTAAAATGACAATATACGACTAAATGTGACGATATTTTTGCTTTAAAACGCTGTAAAAAATCGGACGGTGTACAATTGACGAGACATCTTCAGCGCTCCGGGATTGAGGGAAATGTTTTCCGGCTTAAGATGCCTACACAGAGCCTCGCCATCGCTTCCTTCAATCCTTTAAAGACTTTCTGAAGCAGTGGTTGAAAGTCTACGTTCGTGACCCGAATCAAAGCTACGCTGGAAAATATCACGATGAAACCATTCACACCCGAGGTGGCGATTTTGCAGTGTTAGAAAATAAAAATCCGTACAGGCAGGACGGGTGACCCCCACCCCCCTCGTGCGCGCACCGTGAGCCGACCCACAGAGCCACCTTCCGGGCAGTCACTCAGGCGAGACCGAGGCGCCGGCCTAAGCACTCGGTCTTTCCCCTCGCACCGCTACGCCGCCGTGTCAACGCCATCCCCTCTCCTCTCTTCATGCATCTACCGCGCTCACCCAGCTCAGCAGCCTGAGGATGGTGAGCGGCTTCTTCAAGAAGGCCACGATGTCGAAGACGCCACCCGCTCTGCCCGCGCCGAAACCGCTCTCCTCCGCTCCCTCCATTTTAAGCCAAACGACGTCTCTGGGCTCTGTGGCGTGACGTCACGACGTCGCTGCGCGTGGTCTCGTGACGTCACCGCGCAACGCCGTCTCGTCGGCGCGTGGGTTCGCGACGTCATCACGCAACGGCTCGTAATAATATTTATTTATATCTGGAGGAATCCGATGAGCGATAAAGCTCTTAGGTTGTTTCGGTAGTCACGTAGGTAAAAATAAATCATGAAATAAAAAAATAATAAAAAAAATAATAGAAATAATAATAGAAATACAATTATTACAATAATAATATTATTTATTCTATTTATTATAATAAATAAATAAAAGTATATTATTATTTCTATTATTTTTTTAATTATTTATTTTTACCTACGTGGCTTTACCGAAAAAAACCTAAGAGTATGAATCCTTGCAGTCACGAAAGCTTCAACTCTAGAATATAAAGCGCTTCTCTTTTTTAAACACAAATCTCCAGTAGGTGGCAAGTCAGAACGTTACAACAACAAACAATACAAAAGCACAATAGGAGTGCAAAAGTATAGGAAAGATAAATAAATCACTTAAAAATGAATATTAACAAAACTAAACAATGTTTTTTTTGCATTCTTACCTGGTTAAGCTCACTGCGCTCTTAGGGACCGTCCATAAATGACGTCACGCACCTAGGGGGGGGGGGGGTCAGACATTTGTGACGATGTGTGACGAGGGGGGGGGGGTTTGAGAAATGCGACGTCACATAAAAATGCGCAACTTTAAATACATATAGAGAACACGTTCTACTTAATTGAATATATTTTTTAATAAATGTTTTCTCCTACAACATCAAAGTGCAGCGGCACATTAAATACGCACTACATTGACAATAGTTTTTATCGATTTGAAGCATGTTTTTCCATACGGCGTGCAGCCGTTTCAATACGGGCAAAAAACATTGTTCTGTCTATTTCTTTGTGTTTCTCCCTTGTGATGGGACTTTTGAGGATGAACGTTGAGATTTATAAGGGACACGGGATGACCAAAAAGGTCTGAATTGGTCTGTGACCAGGTAGGGCACTGATAAGACGTTGACAGGTATGTGCTCTGGATGACCGCAGTCCCACACTGGACAATTTTAATTTTCCATTGTGTGTGTTAGGTACTCGCATCTGCCATGGTCACGAAGATTATTTTTTTTATAACCCAACTCCAGCGAATTTCCATGGCGCGGGGCTTCAAAACGGCTTCACACCACTCACCACAAAATCTACAAACACTCTAACCCCGCAAGCATCGCAAACAGCCACACAATAGATTCGAAGCTTTCGTCACTGCAGGAATTACTCTTTGGTTCTTTCGGTAAAGGCACGCAAAAAATTAAATAAATAAATAATAGAATACGACGTTTCTATTGTAACAAAAGCAACCGTCATCAGGTAAGAATGAATGAGAAAAAAACCCATAGTAAACTTAGAAACACAATGCAACGCAACACAAAGAACCGGCCAACACACCAGCCAACACCCCACCAGACTGACCACGCTCCTCCAAAGAATGACAAACAGAAAGACAGCGACACTGTGTTCCACTATAAGATAAATACGGCCCCACGAGGGGGTAGTATGGCTATCAGCACGCCCGGCCGCCTTTGTCTCCCCAGTGGCGATGTTTACACACCGCGCCAGGTGCTAATTTTAGGCTCAGTCGACCTAGAGGAGGCCCATAACCGGTTCAGATAATCGCCACCGGTGTTCGTAGCGCGGCGTAGCGCTGACCGACTGTGGCACCGATACCCGCAACAGCGACCCACAACAACAGCCGTCATGTGCCACTTCGTGGAGGTGACGTCAACCACGTCGCTTGTGCCAGGTTAGGTGCACCTCGAGGCCACGTGAAGTGTCGAAGGCTCGCTGGCAGGAGGTCACAGGACAGACCCTGCAGGTGCCACGGGTCGACTGAATTCGATCACTGGCAGATGCGCCAGCTGTGCTCCCCACGCCCTTGCTGCGTTTTATCCGCCTGGAGCTCCGCACATTGTTGTGAGCGTCGCTCCTCCGGCCTCCGCCGTGTTGTTTGGAGGGCGACTGCCTCCGACTGTCCAATAACGTCCTTCACGGACCTCCTCCATAGAGGCCGATCTTGACATGGCACCACTGGTATCAGTACGTCGGCAAGTCTACGCAGCTTCGCATCCTCCTGTACCACATCAGCCCATCTCTTTTCTAGCCCGTGCCGTGCCCGTCAAGCCCCCTCTATTCATCCAAAACAGAAGGCTCCACGTTTCGCAAGCATAGATAAGGGAAGGGTATAACTGTGCTCTTTGGTTCTTTCGGTAAAGTCACGTAGGTATAAAATAAAATAAATTAAATCACGACGTTTTCGGGCGCAACACAAGCGTCTGTCATCACGCTTGTGTTGCGCCCGAAACGTCGTGATTTAATTTATTTTGTACCTACGTGACTTTGCCGAAAGAACCAAAGAGTACGGATCTCTGCAGTCACGAAAACTTCAAATGTAGAACTGTGACCGAGAAGAAATGAAACCACCGCTGCTACCTAACCACATCGCTTCCCACACACGCGCGCGCACACACACAGGCAGATGTTCGGTCGGCTCAACACAACCGCATCTGTCGCACAAATCTCGGCTTTATTTCGCTGTGAAAGCTCTCGGTGCGTTATCAGATTTGGGTTTCGTCTTGTATTCCGCAGGCCCATAATCCGTGCATTACGAATATTGTTGTCATAACCCACCCCCCCCCCCCCCCAAAAAAAAAGAAATCCACATCAAAAACGCCACCTCTCGGCAACCAACGAGCGATCATCTATCCATCCGCCTGACTCCGCCCCGGACCACGAATCGTGATAAAAGCCAGCAGTGGAGAATTCACGTCGCATAGCAGCACACCTGGGCTACAAGTGAGTTTGTTGTGTTGTGAGTGTGCGCTACGTGCTGGGTTTTTTCTTTCTTCCACTCGTGCGCTGCGCCACCCTTCTTAATAGGTGCTCACTGACAAGCCCTTGTCCACACCTGTGCGCGTAGGCTTTACGCGGGGACCTCTCTGTCTTCTGTGTGCTACCTGATCACACGCATCCATCAAACTCGCGTCTCGCCACTCAGACACGTGGACGAGACCGCGTCGTGCAGGTAAGTCTCGATGAACACGTGGAGTTACGCGCGCGCACACACACACTTCTGCGATATACAAGCGCCTACATTAATATCGTTCACGATATATGGTTCACGATAATCGTTTCGTTAGTTCGACAAAACGGTATCGTTAAATCGTGATTGTCGTTGCTCGTTTCATGAAAACGAATATGTTTAATTTACTGGACAAGATACGCATTTGAAAAATATGATTCCAGTTTGCAATGTATAGTTATGACCCCGTGAAATGAGTGCCTCTTTAAACATAGTCCAGAGTTATTGATGGCATGGTGGTTATTATTATTATAAGAAGTCATCGTATTCGCAGTCCGGATACTCTAATTGCTTGAATATATACTCTTTGGTTCTTTCGGTAAAGTCACGTGGGTAGAAAAATAAAACAAAATAAAAAATAATATTTCAAGACGTTTCGATCGCAACACAAGCGGTCGTCCTCAGGCGGAAAAAAATAATCCAGCAGTGGAACTGCTGAACCAGCGAGAGAGCTGTTACAACAAGAGGTTATATATACATTTTGATTTAAAGCTTTCGTGACTGCAGGGATTCATATTCTTGGTTCTTTCGGTAAAGTCACGTAGAAGGGAAACACTAAAATAATAAAATAATAAAACAATAAAATTCTCACGACGTTTCGACTGCAACACAAGCAATCATCATCATGTTATATATACTTAAAGATAACGGTCTTCTGTGTCACGGCGGGGTAGTGGTTAGAGCGCCACGCTACGAACCTGGAGTGACATCGCGGATTTCACTGTGCAGTGCCGACCCCTACAGGATAGGGTTTGAGAGTGCCGGCCACGAGAATGGGGTTACTCAGGGTCATGGTACTCTCAGGTGGGGGCTTGGGGTGGTCACGTGTCAGGGCCGAGATCCTGCTCGAGGGTTCTCGAAGGTGGGCGTGGCTAAGGGCGGAGCCAGCCACACCACGGAGGATACAAGCCGGGTCCCCCAGAGGGACCTGCTGATGTGGTTATCACAATCTACGTGGCTTTACCGAAAGACCCAAATAATATCCTGAAGAATCTACGTTCTACGTCCGAGAAGAGTCACCAACACCTGGACCCAAGCTGGGTCGTCCATAAATGACGTCACGCACCTAGGGGGGGGGGGAGGTCAGACATTTGTGACGATGTGTGACGAGGGGGGGGGGGGGGAGAAATGTGACGTGTACATCAAAATGCGCAACTTTAAATAAATATAGATAACACGTTCTAGTTTAATTAAATAGACTTTTTGATAAATGTTTTCTCCTACAACATCAGAGTGCAGCGGCAATTTAAATACGCACTACAATGACAATACGTAGTTTAAAGCGATTTGAAGCATGTTTTTTGGAGGGGGGGGGGCAGAGCTTTGTGACGTCATATTTGAGGGGGGTCTGACTTTTTGTGACGCCGTGTGACGATGGGGTGGGGTGGGGGATCAAAAATCGTTCAAAATCGAGTGACGTCATTTATGGACGGCCCCCTACTCCCAGTGTAATTAGTGTAGTTAGCCTGGTGGTCCACCACCATAGGTTCTTATCTGGTGAAGGAGCAAGTTACCCGTTTGTGTTGGTTTCAATAAATGTGTTGGCTCCAAAGAGTACGTCTGTGACTCAGTTGAACCCAGTACAAGCCCAACCGACCCGAGTTTGATTCCCACTCGCAGCCAACACCAGTGACGGGTATCTGAACGAGTCCTGCGATTAGTCCTGGGATTCACCTAGGTCGACTTAGCCCCCAATGAGTACCCGATGCAATGCGTAAAAATCTACACCAGGGAGACAAAGGCGGCCGGGCGTGGTGCCGGCCACATCACCCTTCGTGTGACGTCCCGGCCTTCATCGGTGCTCGTTAACAGCACTTGCCCCAACAGTCTGTTGAGGCTACACGTGGGATCTTTTGTCTTTGTGTCTTTGTCTTTGATTTGTGCACCTGAGCGCGTCTTTGTGTCACACTGACAGCTCTGTGCGTCACAAGGCAGTAACATATTGTAAAGTCGCAATGGTTAGGGAAATAACTCATGGCAGACTTGGAATGCAGTCGGGTGAAGTTCAAGTTTAAAAAAAAATGCCTTAGCTTTTAAGTCCCCCATGCCTACTGGAGGCACTAAACCCATAAACATTACGACCGCAACGCACAATTACAAAGCAAAGCGCATCTCACATCGCGAAATTTGACATCATCATCAGAGTCTATCGCGTGTTAACAAATAAATCCAAAGGAAGTGGCGATTCCACGTGGCTAGATGCCCGCTTCTCGACAGAACGTAATGCACAGCGCGTGATCGGAGCGAGACACGTGGAAGCCAACTTGTGAACGATACCCTTGTGAACGGCACGTTTATTTAGCACAGCGTCCACGTGCTATGAAAAAGGTAACATTGCCCGAAACGTCGCCTATTATGTACGTTTCTTCTTTTAAGGCCACAGTGTTATTGACGAACGTGTTGAGTTGTTATTAAATCCTTTATATTAAGTTCGCTTGCTTGCTTGCGTGCTTGCTTGCGTGCTTGCTTGCTTGCTTACGACCGTGCAAATCTTTCGGTCGTTTTTTAACCCACTTCCCGTGATCCAATCGAGCTGACATTTTGCACACAGACTGGTTGTGCGAGACAATTAATGTTCGTGAAAATTTTTTTCCTAAATTTTACACTGTTTAGGGAAAGAAATTAAATATTTAATTACCAATTGCTTAATACTGGCAGACAATCATCTGACCCATAGGTGGCAGCAATCTCAAGCCAGAGGACGAGAGGACTCTAGCCGCCACGCATATAAAGGATTTATAGTGAAAAACTTAGTTTTTACGGGTTATACTTATTTTTACATTTAGTTCGGATCTATTTGGAGACGATGTGGAACTGCTGTTGTTGGGGTCAAGCGGTGTGGCGCAGTGGTTAGCGCACGGGATCGTGAAATACCGCATAGGACACAAGCCATCACCCGCTGTTTTAATTCGAAAACTTGGGGATGCGTCTTATAATGTGGCGAATACGTGGTCTTCCAGGAGACAAGCAGTTAACACACGCCCATTATTGTTTCAGCTCACCTGTAAGTTGAAGAATAATACCGAAACAAGCCTTTCTCCCGTGAAACGCTTGTACGCGTGACAAATAGTTGCTTTGGCTGTGTCGTGTGGTGGAGGAGGGGCTTCACCAGTGCCGGATTATCCTAGTGGCAAAAGTAGCTACTACATATGTAGCTATGGGCCCCGCACTTTCAAAGGCCCCGCGCTAAATGCTTTCAAGCTATCAATTCCGGTTCAGTGATTCTGCACTTGCTCTATTACTATAGTACTATACCGCCTTCAACTTTTACGAACGACTGGGTGTTTAAGGTTAGCGATTTGTCGTCTTATCTGGCTGGATAGCAAATACACTAATACAATTACTTTACTATGCAAGTTAAAAATCTACGTGTTTTCATGTTTTTTTTTCCGGGCCCCTTTATAACAAATGCTACAGGCACTAGCTTAATCCAACACTGGTCTTCACAACAACTCACATTTGAACCAGAACGTTACGTGGCCCGTCCTAAAATTCAAAATACGAATCGTTAACGTTGGCTGCGAAAACCAAACGTCTCTCGCGTCTCTCCCATTGCCGCAAACTCCTCCTCCTCCTCGTGCAATTCTCTTGCCCGGCTGAAAGCGCGACGAGCACAGAGGGTCCGTGAGCTCCACGTGGAGCCACCATGGAAGACGAAGACGATGACGAGATGGACGAGCCGCGGATGCAGCTGGAGGTGGAGAGCCTCCAGTATCAGCTCGAGTACGCACGGGAGCTCTCATCCGTCACCATCCCCGCGTGCGTTCTCCTTCACTCCCGCGCGCACACACACACAAAGATAAACAAAGATCCCCCGTGTAGCCTTAACAGACTGTAGGGGCAAGTGCTGTTAGCGAGCACCTATGAAGGCCAGAACGGCACACGAGGGGGTTGGGTGGCCAGAACCACGCCCGACCGCCTTTGTTTCCCCAGTGGCGATGTTTACACACTGCACCAGGTACTCATTTAAGGCTGAGTCGACCTAGGGGAGGCCCAGGACCGGTTCAGATAATCGTCACTGGTGTTAGCCGTGAGCGGGAATCGAACCCGGGTCGCCAGGTTCATAGCGCAGCGCGCTAACCGCTACACTTCCGCGCACACACATACACATGCTCACCTGAGCATTCAGTTGCATTACAACCGACTGGTTTACGCGTAGACGTCTCTAACCTGCCGCGCAACCGACTGCCTACGGTCTTGGCAACACTTGGCTTGCTCCGGATTACTGAAAAAGTCAAATCGATTGGCGTGACAACTTGATTTGATTTTTCGATTTAAAGCTTTCGTGGCTGCAGGGATTCATATTCTTGGTTCTTTCGGTAAAGTCACGTAGAAGGGAAAGAATAAAAATAAAACAATCAAATTCTCACGACGTTTCGATTGCAACACAAGCAATCATCGTCAGGTGTGAAAACCACAGCAATAATTTTTTTTTTAAAGTGGCGGGTTTTTCTTCTTAACGTTAGCACCCTTCTACGTGACTTTACCGAAAGAACCAATATTTGATTTAATTTGTTCGGCCGGATGGTGGAGGGTGTAGCTGACAATGTATTGTCGTGAAAACGAAAAGCTATCAAGTGAATTTAGTTTTTATTTGCAAATAATTCAGATAAGTTCATACACGAGACAATGAAAGTCACACGTGCTTTTTTTTATTGACGCGTTACAAGATGTGTCACGAATGTGGATACAAACGTCTGATAAAGTTACTTAAGTATAATCGTTGTCAATGCCTGTTCTCCAACACAATGTGCTGTTGCACTGTTAGCTACATCGCTTCTCAAATGACATATCTTTCATTCACAATAGCACCATAGTGATATATATATTTTACAAAGGTACTATGGCTCCTTTAAGTCACCAAGGTGGAATAGTAGTACAGCGATTTGAGCACTGCACACCGAGACCCGAGTTTTATTCCCGTTAAACAATCCACACAACCAAACAGTGGGGAGGTCTGTGAATTGACAAAAGTTGAGCAAATCATTTAAATCACATACAGCAATTGCATTTGTTTGAAAATTAAGGATGTTGCCAGTGTTTGCCCGGCAAAGGCAGTACAAGAATTGGGACGCTACACCCATCAGTCAGCCACGGTTTATCCACTGCTGGAGGTATATCGTTTAATAAATGTTTCCAAACTTGTTCTGTTCTAACTGCAAACATCCCAAGCAGAAAGCCAAAAACAACTGACACATTTCAGGGACTGACTCCTTATATACAACGACATAAGGGCCAGGGCCTGCATGCCATAGGAGTGGCAGTTGGTGCAAAATAAAATACAGCCCCTTGTTCATCTACTGCTGGAAGGCCTCCTCCACCTCCCCATGTCGTGTCGGTCATGCGGATTGTTTGACCATACTTCATCACGCCGGTCAACACAGGTTGGTGAAGGTGGCACCCAGGACCTTGCCCACTGATGTTAACCGTGACCGGGAACTGAACTCGGGTCACAGAGTTCACAGTGCACTTGTTTTTCTTTTAATCAAAAACCAAGGGAAAAGAAAGCCCCTCAAGGGGGTGCATGTCACATCACGTTGGATTGAAGTTTTCGGCTCGGAGGAGCACTGCCTTGACGGAGCCAGCTGGATAACATACAGCAGAGTGTTTCTTGAGGATTCTAAATGTCCTGCAAATACGTAAATTCCACACGGTGTTCTACGCAATCAGCCACTGGCCAGTGAGCTGAACGAGCAAGAGTGCTTTTGCTGCAGAGATTAATCGCAATCTGGTATTACCGGCCGGCTCTTTCCCTATTAACCCCTTCCACAACAGCGTTCATTGTTTGCAACTGGAAGGCCCTTTTGTGAACAGTACACAAAAAAATTGAGCTCATTGATTGCGCTCGCAGAGTGAAACGTCGGACATCAAACCGAACGGCACCCGGCAAAGCCAAAAAAAACAAGTCGGAGAGCGACGACACGGCACGACCACGATAAACTACGCAAGCATTAGAACACAGAGCAGTTGGTTTAGCGATAGAACCAATACAGACTTTTATTGTGAAGATCTCGGCTTACACACACAAAAAAATCAAATACCAGATGTACACGTACACACATACGCTATGTACAGCATGTTGCGTGCATGTGTTGTATGCGAGTAACGCGGGGGGTGCGTACGTATGTGTTGAACCTTCTTTCGCAGTGTATGTAGCAGACCTTGGTCATCGGAGGGGTGTGCTGTGTGGGTGTGCTGCGTGGGGACAGTCTGGTGGGCTGGGTGCAGGAGGGAGAAAAAACGGACCCCATCCTCAACGCCGAGCTCATGAAGGAAAACCCCTGGGTGGACAAGGGCAAGTGCGTCATCCTGTGACCCCGGAAACCCGGGGGCTCGTGTCGCTCAACCGTTTCACAATGACCCCTTCGCTTTCCCTCGTGGGAATCGCTGTTAAGAGTCATGTCAGTTACCCGTCCTGTGAATTTTTATAACTGTGAAGATTAAACAACGTGATGGCTGTCAGTATTTTACCCGTGAAATACACCCGTTGTATTGCATACGTTCTCTTTCCAAATAAAAAGTTCACATCTCGTTCCCACACGGTAACGCAGAGCACTTTCATCCGGGCATCGTTTGCTTCGACCTTTGGAGAACAAGATGAGATGCGCGCACGGATCGGTCCTCGTCGTGTTACGAAGGTGATGATATTTTACGAGTTCCACGTCAAACGGTGCTCATCGGTTGTTCAAGTCTTCACCGAGTCCTGGAGAAACACGGCCGGCGACGCCTCCGATAGGCAAAACGTTCACAGGAGGTCCTTCACGTGCAGGTTGCGGCGCACGGCGTTGGAGAAGCCCTCGTTGAAGCGGAACCACACATCACTGGCGCCCACCGCCCTCCCAATGCGCCGCTCGATGGACTCTGGCTCCGGCACGCCGTCCACTGCGCCAGCCACGTGAAAGGGTAGCACAGTGAGGATGGTGGGGGGGGAAATGGGGGTGGGGTAGCGGCACCGTTAATTAAACGACTGAGAGTCAATAGCCAAAATAACCCAAAAATCCGTTCTATGCCTCCAAACAAACATTTATTTAGTCTATCGGGCCCATTGGCATTCCAGTTAAATATCCATCCCAGGAGCATTTTTTTTAACCAAGTAAACTCTGGGCTGGTTTCAGCCTTCTGGGTCTCATCAGCAAAGTCAATACTTTTATTTATATGTTGAGACGCGGAACAGATACTTGCTTATATATGCTTATACCGATAATCCTCCAACAACACCGCAATATACTTTTTGTGTTGCATAGGGCTGTAGTTTAGTTGCGAGCCCACTGGCCAATGACATCTGCTAATCCCCGTCAAGCAGCATTTGTTTAACAAGCCTGACTGCACACGTATAATGCTCCACAACACAACGCATTACGAGTTTGAAAAATAAATACAGTGGCTAGACTGCAAGCGGCACCCTCGTCATGTGTGGATTCTAGATTTGAAGCTTTCGTGGTTTTTTCGGGAAATGTCACGTAGGTAAAAAAAAGTAAAAAAAATGATAAAACAACTAAATTAAATCACGACGTTTCGGGCGCAACACAAGCGTCCTTCTTCAGGTGGGGACAATGTAGTGAAAGCGCAACCGCTTAAGTGTGTCTCAGAGATGGCCATGTATGGATGTTGCACTTTTGTTGCACTGTGTGTAGCCAACTGTGCTAATCGTCATGTGCGGCTTGCAACGAGTGAGCGAGGCGGCATAGGTGTGGAGCTGCGGATGCAGTGTGAGGTCGGGAACTACCTGAAACTGCCAGCACTGGCTCCCGTCGTACCACAGGGCGGCCGAAGAAATCTGTCTCGGGCTGGGGTGGGGGCGGGGAACAACGCACACACGTCCAGGAAAGGGTCAACTCAAAGATGTGTGGGTGGAATGTCATCCAGCAGTGCAGTGTCATGCAAAGTAAAAATGAGTCCGGCCCGGACCATCATCACCGCAATCCCTCTAGGGTTGACAAAAACAGGTACCAATTTGTGAGACTTCAATAGTGTTTCACTTATGGAGAGACTGTGGGATTTTGACCACTGGCTTGGGACTGCCAATAGTGAGGACTTTCACCACATTATAAATTGAGCAGGGAGACGCTAGATTTTTTTAATCAATCTGTTGCTGCAGGTTTGAAATATACCATGTGCCCTCCTCCGATTCTGCCCTTACGTTCCCCCAGATCCCCCCCCTTTGCAAAGCAGCAACACCCGTGAATAAGTCAGAGGTAACGATTGATTGGGAATGCTGCCGTGGTGTAACAGTTAACACACTGCACTTGTAATCCAGAGGTCGCCAGTTCAATCGATTTCTGCACGTGGCAGTTGAAACAATGGTGCAAATTTCTTAAATCACCCCCCCTCGCTTCTGTCCACCCAGCAGTATGACACCACCGTCGATTGGCAGGTGGTGTGTGGTGGGTAACGTGTGGCTAATTCCACCTCTTCCCAGATGTCTCGCCAGCATGGTAGCGAAGGCCAAACACTCTCTCGAGGGAATCTCTAGAACTCCCTCGAGTGGAGGTGGTTCTGACAGCAGCGGCGTGAGCGAGCAATTGAAGGGCTGCACTGCACGGGCGACCGGTTGCCTTACCGGCGCCAACTTGTCGTTGACGACGATACTGCGAAGCGAGTGCTCCAAGCGCTTCTGGTGGTTCTTGGGTCCCGCTGTCTGTGCCCTGGCGGCGCCTGCTGCACCGGTCCCGTCCCGGCGCTGGGCGGGGAGGGGGGAAGGACGAAGCATGAGTTCAGTTGAACAAGGGCAGCACACGTCGACGGGCGAGGAACACTGGTGCTCAGCAGAACCGCTCGGAAAAAGATTACTTTGTGCCGCGTAGCTTATCGCGGTTGCGCTGTGTATCTTTCCGATGCGTTTTCGAATTGTACCCATTGTTGTTCGGCACGTTGTCCGACGTTTCGCTTCACGTGTTGTTCGGCATGATATCGGACAGCAACACACGGTACAATCCCAAAAAATAAACACACTTTGGAGAGCTAAACAGTGGTTTGGCCGATCAGTAGCCCTAACCCTCTTCCCCAACCACAGCCCAATCTTTGCAATATACAATTGCTATAAAGCATTAGGTATCAAACGCTACAATAATTTGTAATCGATTACAGTATTTAGGATCTGTGCCAATTATTTGGTTAATCGATGTAATATCTATGCTTTGGGGTGAACAAAACCACGCAAAACGAGACGGTAAGCGATATACAAAGAAGACGGGAAATATTTCATTTTAAAAAATAATCGGTTCTTGACGTGAATCATGACCCAGAATTACATTCCACCAAGTCAACTGGCAGGGTGGCGAGTTACATGGCTATTGAGTATTAATGGTTCATTGGATCACTGATTAGGATCAACCTGTGTGCATAACAATCAATGATTTATGACTTCAAGATATAATATGCAAATGTACGATTAGGCGATTGGAAATAAAAAGAGCAAACGAGATAGAAAATACAAACGAGACGCACAATGCAAACGAGAGAGGAAATACAAACGAGAGAGACAATACAAACGAGAGAATACAAACGAGACAATGCAAACGAGACAATACAAACGAGACAGACAATAGAAACGAGACAGACAATAGAAACGAGACAATAGAAACGAGACAATAGAAACGAGACAATAGAAACGAGACAATAGAAACGAGACAATAGAAACGAGACAGACAATAGAAACGAGACAATAGAAACGAGACAGACAATAGAAACGAGACAATACGAACGAGACGGACAAAAAAAACGAGACAGACAATACAAACGAGACAGACAATACAAACGAGACAGTACAAACGAGACAGACAATACAAACGAGACAATACAAACGAGACAGACAATACAAACGAGACAGTGCCAATTGGGTACTCAATAACCACTCTGGAAGCTATTCGTGACCCACGCACATTACCAGACCCCCTAGGGCCCCCAAATCAGTTCTGATTAATGGACACAAAGTAGTTGTTTTCAATGCAGTCGCTCTCTCTCAACGTAATCGATTGTATCATTGGGGATATCTCTGTCAGAGGGACACAACTGGAAATCAAACTATCACAATGTGTATACAAGGTACAGCTATTCAAATGGTAACGGAAGAAACAGCATGATGATGTGTTTGTGGAAAATGAACTTGTGGATAACAAAAACATAGCACTGGGCCAAATGAAGAACTCTTCAAAAAAATGTTTTTTACTGGGTAAGTCTCACTGAGCTATTAGTGCTCTTTCAGAAGTGATAGCTCCACGAAGTGAAATTGTATAGCAGCCAAGTACTTTGCAACCTCTTACCGCTAATCCATAACAAATACTTTAATCAATGCATGCCACCACCTGCTCTCACATATGATGGAATGGCAGCCCAACGAGAGAATGTGTCCAAGAGCACGTCGACTGTGGAACCGGAGGGACGCAATTGGCTTGTGTGGAGGCGCTCAGGGCGATTGTAACATTGCGTGAACGTGAGGAATGGCGACGGCTTGGCGATTCTTTCATTCAGCAGTGGACAGACCGTGGCTGATGATGAAGAGTGTGTAAGCGGCCCAACTCCCCAACTGGCTTTGTGGGGCAAATGTCTAATTGCTCAATTGCCAATTATAATTGCAACTGGGACTTACCCTGGCACTGGCTTTGGTTGACATCACGGATTAAAGGTTATGTTAGAGATAAAAGCCAAGCTGAAGTGATTACATTAAAAGTTATGGATTAGGGGTTAGAGGTTGTAGAAGGGAGGTTAGGGGTTAGTAAATGGAGTGCTGGAGGTGGGGATTATGGGCCAGTGGCCAGGATTAGGAGGCGGGGGGGGGAGCGGGGATCGCGGTCGAGGATCAGGACTCGAGCGAGGAGGAGTGAACGAGGGGCAGCAGGGATGTATGTATGTACGTTGAACTTCTTTGGCACGGACGAGACTTATGGCAGGGATGTGATGGTGGTCGGGATGCGACAGTGGCCGGGATGCAACGGTGGCAGAGATGCGACGGGAGCAGGGATTTCGATTTAAAGCTTTCGTGACTGCAGGGATTCATCTTCTTGGTTCTTTCGGTAAAGTCACGTAGAAGGGAAATAATAAAATAATAAAAAATAAACCAATAAAATTATTCTCACGACGTTTCGACCACAACGCAAGCAGCCGTCCTTAGGTGAAGACCAGGTCTGTCGGGGAGACAGCGTCTGGTGGTGGTGTTTCATTCAGACGCTGTCTCCCCGACAGACCTGTTCTTCACCTGAGGACGGCTGCTTGCGTTGTGGCCGAAACGCCGTGAGAATTATTTTATAATGTTTTTATTTTTATTATTTTATTATTTCCCTTCTACGTGACTTTACCGAAAGAACCAAGAAGATGGTAGCAGGGATGCGACGGTTGGAAAGGATGCGACAGTGGCAGACATATAAGAGTGACAGTGTCAGAAAAACGTGAGCAGGCAGTGGCGGAGATGGGCATGCGCCCCTCACCTCAGTCGAGTTGCGTGCGATCGCCGCGGCCTCTGTGCGCCGCATCCGCTCCAACTCCACCTCGCGCGCTATCAGCTGCCGCATCTGGTATGACAGCTGCTTGCGCTGGGGCAGGCTCGGGTAGCGTGCCACCGCCTCCATGTTGCTGCGCATGCACCGACAGGCATGGCGATAAATCGATGGAATCGGTGTGAGCTTGTCGGCACGTGGTAACAAGTCGGTAAAAACAAGGCGTGCGTGCGGCATCAAAACAAATCCGAAAATTAACCAACCGTTTTGGAAATTCGGAAATATAACAAAATTTGGAACTATTTCAAAAATAAATAAAAATGTTATTTAGTTATCTGGGTAAGCATTGCTGAACACCCTTTAAAGCAGTGATCAGGAGGCCCAGAGGTCCTGGGTTCGAATCCAGGCGGTCGCCTGTGATTTTTACCATTTTCTCAAGTGGAGCGAGTTGATGGTTACAGGCCCAGGACCAATTACTTCAGAAAACAATCCATTAAGCTATATTTCTTCTGCACCTAATTTGGCTGAATGTCAGCTCTGAGAATTAAATATTAGTTTGACCGTCATGTCACAAACAAATGGGTAACGGCTTCCCTCAACTGTGTGGACCAGAGGTCACATGAAAGGGTCTTTGAGGCAGTTCTGATATCCGCTTCAGTGGGATGCTCTCTAATACTAAGGGTTGTACTGCTCTGAGAAATATCCAAGTGTTTATCAAGGTGAGAACTCAAGTGACCAGGGTGAGTCTCATTTTCAATAGTGACCTGGTCTCATGATATGACGCCACAAATCACAATCAGTATAAAATTAGGGGAAAAAGACAAAACTATTCTATACGATGAGTTCTGCGGAAAGATGACTGGCTAATCCATTTTAAGAAACGTTCCGTATCTGGAAGGACTCTTAATACAGAGTCCCCAGACCCCCAACTCTAGCACTACGCGCACACAAAAAAAAACCACCACACCACTGAGCACAATAAGACGTTCCTCAATGATCCCAACAAAACCCTGTGAGGGTGAAAACGCCACATTCTCGCTAGCACTGCCTGCGAGTCCAGACGAGCGAGAGTAATTGTCACAGCCCAACGGGTTCCCGTACGCCGGCCGCGCCGTCACCTCACCGCTTCGGTTTTGTTTTAAATCACAGCTTCCGAGCACGGGCCCGAATGGCCACAAAAATTCCAAGCGGCCAGCAACAAAGAGCACCGTTGCCGGCGTAATAGACGAAGAGCGAATGCATTTCTTGATATCGGCAAGGGTATAAGGACTTGGGTAAAGAGACGATGGGGGGGGGGGGGGGAATTAAAATTCGAGCAGTTCGAGGGAAGAAGAAGCAGACAGAAGAAACAACACCGTAGACCGAATCCTCAGGAGAGAAGTTCACGGGAATGGTAACCAGAGTTGTAGTGATACGTAGACGACTGACTGCAGCTGAACGAGTGACGGCAGTGAGAATCAGCGAGCGGTGAACCTTCAACGAACCCGATCGCCTCACGGCGTTCCGGGTGTGGCGCCGGCATCGATGCCACCAGCGCGGCTCCCGTTGGCCAGCTTGGCCCCCTCGTTGAGCATGAGCTGCTGCATGTGCGCCGGCATGTAGAGGAAGGCGTAGATGAGCAACAGCACCAGCAGTGCAGCGGCGAGCGGCAGGCCCCAGTCCGTGATGACAATGGGCTCCTGGCACCGTGCTTGGAACATTCCGCGGCGTGCGCGGCCCCGCGCGCCACGGATACTTTGCCGAGGATGCGTCTCCAGTCGCCGACTCTTCGGGGGGTTTAGCTAAACGCACCAGCGGCTCGGATTGGATCGAGCGGTAAACGAGCGCTTGCAGGAAGATGCAAAACGGCGGCACGGTTTTCCGAGAGCGGGCCACGGTTTTCTAAGACAGAAGGATTTTTTGTTTCTCGATTGCCGCCGCCGCTGCCATTTTTCGCTGCTCTTCGTGAACTTGTGACGAACCGACTTGACGAGGGTGAATAGCGGAAAGTAACAATCTGCAAGCACGAACGCCGACTTCACCTGATGGGCAGAGTGAGAGCTGCCTCAATTCGTGACTCTGGCTGCGCTTTTAAGTCAGAACAGCACACGCACCTACACAACTATACACGCACACCTTCTTCATACACACACTGCCACAGCATTACGACGGAAATCCCCACGCGAACTGAAGCATCTGAGCAGCCCCGCCGTGAACAACGTCTTTTCTCTTCTCCTGAAGACAAAGGTCGAGCTGTCAGGAGGGACGGAAGGCTGCTGGCTGGACCCAAGTCTTCACAAACTTGAAGATTAATCCAACGTGCTGGGGCCACGGTCGCATGAGACAACGAAGAGTCAGGATATCTCGGCTTCAAATGAAACATCGATGAATTTTAGTAGAAATATATTTGCCGGTGTCGGTTTAGCTGCTCTTTCCCGCTCTCCATCTGATGCGCTAAGATCCCTCGTCCCGTCCGACGGATTAACACTGCTCGTGAAAATGTCCTTTATGTAAGGTATTCCCTCTCCCTCCCGTCGTCTCTCTCCGTCAGTCGTACACACATGTGCACATACACGCGCGGGTACCGCGAGTGTAATCTGGTACATGTGAGTGTGCGTACGCACGCACATGCTTTTCCGTGACGTGCCGTCGTCGAAACAATCTGTTGGTGCGCACGTGGCGCCAGCTTGTGTCCTACATAAACCCAAATGACATCCACGGGACAGACCGTGGGGCCCGCGCTCGACTTCCGCCGTCATGCCAACGGTGCCGCTTGTGTCATGTACGCGAAGACCAGGGTGGCAAAGACGGAAAGGGGACATGACACCATTTTTAAGTGAGTGGAAGACGGGAGGAGTGGTGAGAGGACAAGAAGAATTGACACTTCAAAGTTAGGGTCAAGGGCATATCCCTTCAGCGGCAATCTCTGTAGAGGGCGGCCCCAATGGCGAGTGACCTTCCATTTCCACGGCCGTCCCTTTCACACCGCTAGAGGGAAAGGTTTGCTCGTGTAATTTTTATGGCACGTAAAGCGCCAAATTATTCGTAAGAGAGGGCCCCGTATATAGCTCGCAATACCCCACACACATTTTGCTGCCACCTGCCGCTCCCTCCTGCTTCCCATCCTAATCCTCTTCCATTTCCCCCCGCAGACTTGAGCGTTTAAACGCTGCATTTCCTTCAGCGAATCAACGCTGGGATTAAGCGGGTTGCGTTTCGCTGTTTGCGATCACTCTCTGCATGAGTCATGGCTTGGCAGGTCACAACAAACGCAGCCCCCCCCCCCACTCAAATGTTGCTGCCACTATCCGCTTCAGGCAACCTGTGGTCCGGATTAACATTAAATTCCCAGAGCTCAGGATTCAAGAACAAAAATAACCTTTTAGGGAAATTGCTCGGATCACAGCAGCCAGAGGGGAGCCTGTGAGCCAATGGGTTGGGCTCCACATTGGAGAGGAATGGGGGGGGGCAGCAAAGCATGGTGACTTCCCTCGACGCTCCCACCCTCCCAGCTATAGCAGGGGAAAATCAGTCGTTTATAATTAACGATAAACTTTAATAGATCCCTTTTATTGTTGTCGATTACACGGGCCCTGCCTCTGGAAGGCAGGAAACCCCCTACGAGCCACGCCCAGCGTAACAACGCCGATGGTGTCAACAGGTCAACAGGGACCACCCACCACCTCCAGTTCCGCGATACACATGGGAACAGAGACTTATAATTGTCAGAGCAATTGTTTACTTAAATAATAATCGGAGGGCCCAGTTCTACTTCCACCGGTATGCTCCACGTATGTAAGTTGCACACCTTATAACCGGAGACCACACCGTCCACAACCTCATGCACGTGGTTTCGATACAAGAGCCCTCTCCGTCTCAATCGATATCGACAATCTTTGCTGCCAACAGCAAGATCCAGCGGACTCTTGCGTTGGATCCTCCCGACATCCGCAGAAGACGATGTGGGGACAGGTAGCGGCTTCCCACTTCTCGCCGACGGGCGCCACATACGGCACGACCTGTCCCTTGCCTCCACCGTGATCGCGGCAGGCAGCACCTCACACAGAGGCGGTGGGGTGCTTGATTTCGTGACAATTAAAAGCTTACTCTCAAGATGCAGATGTTGCAGATATGGAAGGGTTTATCCAAATGAAATGGAAATTTGTTCATCACTGTTTTTTTTATTTTGGTGGTAGGGGAAGGGGGGGGTGGCTGAAGAGAGGCAGGCCCACTCAAGAATTTGGGTAAAAAGGGGCTTAACATTTACCAGAGACAGCAGGGACAGATTATGAGCGTTGGAAAGTACGAGGGGGGTTCATGTTGCATCCCCCAGCCCGTGCGATTATTGCTGCTTTGGAAAGTCCATCCGCTTAGCGTTAATTTTGAATGTATTTAGAGCGGGGTCCGAAAAACAACCATCAAGTTAAATCCGTGAAATATGCATCACGCCATTGTGTTTAAAAAAAAAAAATGCCACTCTGTAAGTTTTCGCGCGTTGTGCTGTACAGCTCTCCGATGGGTGTTTAATTTTTTACCCGGCTGTACGCGCGCGTTGTTTGAAATTATGTCCGATGTTTTTGCCCTACATTCTGGGGGCCTCTTTAGGAAGCAAAATGAGCGGTGCTATCTAGGAAGGATATGAGCTCCTTGATCCAATTCCTAAAGTAGCTCCCAGAAAGTTCAGCAAAAAGTCGGACATCATGCCGAACAACATGTTACAATCCGAAAACACAAGCGAGAGATGTTATATAACGGTTGTCATCAATCTGAGCCGACCTTCATCGCCTACACACGGCGCTCTCTCCCTCCTCCAACCCCCTGCAGCATAACAAAAGGAGGCTTAACGTAAACCTCCCCCACGGACCATCCAGGCTCCTCCCCCCCCCCCTTAACCTGTATATAGTCTCGTGTCTCTTAAGAGTTCTCTCCACTTGATACAGTAATTTTGCTGTGATGGTGCCACCTGAAGACGGAAGCTTGTGTTGCCTCCGAAACGTCGTGATTTAATTTCTTTTTATTTGATTTTTTACCTACATGATTTTACCGAAAAAAAACAAAGAGCATGGACCCTTGCAGTCACGAAAACTTCAAATCTAGTGCGTGTTGTGTTTCGCGCGCAGCGCTACGAATCCGGCGACCCGAGTTCGATTCCCGCTCACAGCCAACACCAGTAACGATTAATTATCTGAACTGGTAACGGGCCTCCCCTAGGTCGACTCAGTCTCCAAATTAGTACCTGGTGTGGTATGTAAATATCGCCACTGGGGAGACGAAGGCTGTCGGGCGTGATGTTGGCCAACCACCCCTTGGTGTGCCGTGCCGGCCTTCATAGGTATTTGCTAACAGCACTTGGCCCAAATGTCTGTTGAGGCTATACGGGGGATCTTTGTATTTGTCTGTGTGCCACTGGGTAGCGGGGTGGTCGCCGCACTGCAATACAAACTTGGCAACCCGAGTTCGATTCTCGCTCACAGCCAACACCAGTAACGATTAATTATCTGAACTGGTAACGGGCCTCCCCTAGGTCGACTCAGTCTCCAAATTAGTACCTGGTGTGGTATGTAAATATCGCCACTGGGGAGACGAAGGCTGTCGGGCGTGATGTTGGCCAACCACCCCTTGGTGTGCCGTGCCGGCCTTCATAGGTATTTGCTAACAGCACTTGGCCCAAATGTCTGTTGAGGCTATACGGGGGATCTTTGTATTTGTCTGTGTGCCACTGGGTAGCGGGGTGGTCGCCGCACTGCAATACAAACTTGGCAACCCGAGTTCGATTCTCGCTCACGACCAACATCCGTTACAAATATCCAAACTGGTCTTGGGCCTCCCTTCAATCGACTCGGCCTTAAATGGGGAGACAAAAGCGCCCGGGCGTTGTGCTGGCCACCCACCCCCACCCCCCCTCCGTGTGCCGTGCTGGCCTTCACAAGTGCCCGCAAAACAGTACTTGCCCCCAATAGTCTGGTCAGGCTATATGGGGGGGTCCTTGACTTTTTTGTGTACCGCGCGCCACTCACGGGTCGAGCAGGTAGGTGTATTGTCCGTCCTGCGTGCGCTCCTGCCGGTAGGTGAGGTTGTATGCGAGCATGGTGGCCACCAACTCGGACAGCTGCTGCTTCTCCCGAGCACTGTACAGCTGCGTGTTCACCTGCAAGGGAGCGCGGTGACAACAACAGTGAAGACGGCAGAATGACGCTGGGGTTTTGTAACCGTGGCCGTTTGCTATTAACAGTCACAAAACTGTGACGTCTTAAGATTTTGTCCCAGCCAAGACGAGGGCAGAGTAGAAAATATATATATATATATACACATTTACAGTCACCTGTCAATCCACTGCTAGATGAAGCCCCCCACTCCCACACACCATGTTGAGCGTAGTTCTTTGATCCCCTTTCCACTGGCCAGTGCGGTGCCCTCACAATACAGGTGGTTTTCCACTGGCTCTCAATCGAGCCAGGACCAAACCGTGCTATGCTGGCCTCACGAGATGACATATGACTGGCTCGGGGCCAAGCAGGGCCAGGTGGGCAGGCCTAATGACGGCGTTGATTGCATTGCGTGTTACGTCACCGCATCATCTACATCAGTCTCGAGTTCTGCAGCGGAAACAAAAGCACGGCACCTCGGCACGGCTGCGGCGTGGCTTGGTCGTGCGTGGGGACTATTTGGTTGCGGTGACTCACGGGCCGCATTTTGGGCGAGACGATGTCGAGGATGAGGCAGAGGGAGTCGAGAATGAGGGCGAGGGCTGGCACGTGGGTTCTGATGTGTGCCGACGCCTCCCCGATCATGCTCGTCACCAGGTTCTGCGACTGCGCCAGCTTGCTCTGCATCTACTCCACCAGACACGTGCCACACATTAATTTGTATGCAAACATGCATACACATGCACCACACATTCATACGTATGCTTATATATAAGGTCAACAAGACAAGAATAGCTGTTCCCCACGTTTTAATAAATCAAGCATAGGCGATATCAGGTATCATTAAAATGACGCCAACGTGATGACACTTTCGATGGAAGTAATGTCACTTCCTGTGACATCACACTTTCGGATGAACACCACTGCTTGGGGGCCTCTGCACCGAGCAGCCACCGCTTATCCACACTCCTCTCTAAACTCCGGTCACCGCAGCTCCCCCCAGCCAACAGACACAGCACAAGACTGTACTGTCGGCAGTTGTGCGTCGTATGCGCAAATGACGAAGCTGATGAACAACATCGACTGGCCCACGTCACACACCAGCAACGGTCGGAAACATTATATAATCGAGGGAGAACACGAGCTGCTCCATTCGTTATCCTGAAGAATCTCTCAGCAAGTAGAGTAAAACGTTGGGACATCACGCCAAAACAACAAATCCGAGCGCTGTTCCCCACCTCCCTCTCTCTCTTGGCTAACGATGGCTATCGGGCGGTTGCGCACCTCGAAGTTGCTGTTGGGGTAGTTGAGGCGTGGCGGCGAGTTGGAGGAAAACAGGAAGTGGAATGCGACGGCCACGAAGGGCAGGTAGCGCATAAGCACGTAGTTCTGGCCACGGGCGATGGAGCAGCTTGCCAGGTCCTGGAAGCAGAGCCACTCGGTGCCCAGGCACACGAGCTCCATGCGGGGATCCTTGACGCGCGCGGCCAGGTAGTTCTCAAACAGGCCCTGCACGCGCGCAAAACAGCGTACGACGCCGGGTTTAAGGGGAGCCCGCCAAGGATGCCTTCTGCTTGGACTCGTCGGTGGACGGGCGTAGGTCCCGCTAAGAGGCGTGCTTTACCGTCGCTCACCTGCGTCAGCTTCTCGTACTCTCCGTTGGCGGAGACGAGGTGAAGCAAGCTGTGGAATCGGGCGGCGCCCGTGCTCATCGTGGCGCGCCCCTCTGTGGGGCCCACGCCGACCTCCCAGGGCGCCGTGGGGAACAGCTCACCGGCAGCGTCGCGACTCACCCGCTTTCTGTACACCATAGCAACGTCGTCAAAAACAATTTAACCCGTAGGCTTTAGCGACCAATATTATTAATAATAAAGGCTTTTTTGTGTAAGATCGCGTAAACATAAATGTGTCATTATCGCCACCACCACCCGATACAGCTAATTAGTGAGGTTTATCACGTAAACTTTTGTTTTGATACCAGGTAAGGCCCACTAAACTATTTAGCTCTTTTTCAGTAGTGACCTGGCTATCACAAATGACAGCTCAACAAAGTGGCTTATCACGTGCAAATTTATAGCAGCCAAATACTCTAAAACATGTTTCTAAATGTGGAGAAAAAAACCAGAAGACCTGGATAAAAATCCACGTGACTACGGGAAGAACACATACAAGCGTCATGGACGGGACTGAACCCACGACTTCCTGTATACCAGGCGAGATAGTTAACATCTCGCCACCGTGGCGTCCATGTGCCAATTAGTTACTACTTCAGCATACCTGTTTGTTGGACAGTAAACCCGAAACATTTACAATTTGAGTACGACGTTTCGCTAGTAATTACAACCAGCTTCATCAGGCGATTTTGCAGGTTATCTGGCTTGACCACCTGAATGTGAAATTGTAGTTGTTGCTATGCACCTACATCAGCAGCCATATGAAAGAAGAAAAAGAAGAAAACTGAGGCCAGGTCTGGTCCCGGTGTGGGTGTGTGAGAGGAGCACACCGCTGTGGCCGAGGCAGCCGGAAGATCTCTTTCCACACTGGGAAGAGCCCCTTGGTCTGATCTTTGAGGCCGATGCTCAGGGACTGTACCGTGTGGATGTTCAGCTCACTCTGTCCCCGGCCCTGCAGGAACTGCATACGCAAAGACAAAACTATAGGAGGGAAGGGCAGCGAGCTGGAGGCAAGGGCAGGGAGCAGGAGGGAAGGGCAGTGAGGAAGAGGCAAGTACGGCAAGCCAGTCAGGCTCACCTGCAGGGTGTTGATGCATGAGCGGATGTCGTTCTCGGTTTTCTCACAGAGAGCCAGGAGCACGCCCATGTCCACGTGGAGGCCCTGTAGGGTCGAGATCTGGCCTCGCCCAGACAAACGCAACACAAAGCAGGAGGCACACAGAGGCAGTTGGCCTACCATGGCGTGCTGCACAGGGACAGCTCCCAACGGAAGTCCCCTGCCACCTGGTGCCTCGGGGTGTAACGCATGGGAGTCGTAGCGTAAGCATTAGACGATGGCGTTGATGACCAGAGTGGGTGTCTGTCATGGCGCTGTGTTGCCGGGTACCTCGAGGAGTCTCTGTGCGAGTCGCGATGGCATGGTGGGCGGGAAGGCGAGCGTGAACGCCTGCTGCCTGAGCGGCCTCAATGCAGGAGTATACCTGGGTGACAAAAACACAATGATCCCCCACAGACACACAGACCATTGGGGCTCGTGCTGTAGGCAAGCACCTATGAAGGAAGGCACGGCGACGCAGTATCACAATTACAAAGATCCCCCGCATGTAGTCATTCAGACTTTATTAGCGATCGCACGTTAAGGCCAGAATGGCACATGAGGAGCAGAGGTCGCAACCGGGTACCCGATACCCGTACCCTACCCGATACCCGGCTACCCGTACCCTACCCGATACCCGGCTACCCGTACCCAGCCGGGTACGGGTACGGGTAGCCGTTTGCGACCCTGGTGCGGCCGGGTACGGGTAGGCCGTGAGTCACCGGTGAGTAACCGTTTGTCACTCACTTCGGGTAGGGTACGGGTAGGGAACGGGTACCCGTACCCGGCCGGGTACGGGTACGGGTACCCATTTGCGACCCTGGTGCGGCCGGATACGGGTAAGGAATCAAAAACCGTTTGCGACCTCTGATGAGGAGGTAATGTGGTTCAATCAAGCACCACACCAAACCGTCTATGTCTCCCCCGCTGTGTGGATGTTCAAAACCCCGAGACAATGCAAGTCGTGTGGGCGGGACATGCGACCGCCGCCCACTCACAGATCGTTGCAGATGCAGATTATGGGCCTGAGCAAGAGGCCTCCATCTTTCTTGCGCCGTCGGCCCCCTGGTGCTGCCCCACCGGTCTCCTTGGTGTCCTTCCGGTTCACGAGGGTCAGGAGGGTGGTGATGGCCGCCTGAAATAGCGTGCAAAGGAGCGGAGGTTCTTTTAAGCTCACTTTGCCACGTTGAAGCATTTTACTTGGGCAAATAAGGGCATATGTACTGATTTTAAACCAGCTTATGATTTGGTCTGTCACGATTCTGAGGTCGCGACTAGATTCCAGCGTAACACTTACAAATAATTTGATTGATACATACGATCAACGCGTTGACACCTGCCTAATAAAGAAACGAATGGCAATGCTCTCAAGTTGGCATCTTATTCTCACGACCAGGAAAATGGAATCCAAGGAAAAATAATTTCGACGCACAGCGCAGAAACGTCGTGTGCGACAGAACGCGGGATATCCCCTTCCCCGAGCTGTCAAACCCTGCAGTGTCTCCCAGCATGCGTGCGTGCGTGCAATTGAGCGGGCAAAGTGAGTGCGGTGCTCACCAAGGGCGCCCCGTCCACCTCGTCGATGACGAGGCAGTTAGGCCGCTCACTCGCACCCAGCACCGACTTCATCTGCGTGGCCGCCTCAATGCGCGTGCGGAACACCTCGGGGCTCCGGTCGTCGCTGGGAACGGCACGCAAAGCAAACTCACCCTCAGGGATGTACACTGAAGTCATTGATTAATTACACCAGCGCACGCGAAAAGCTATTAACTTATCGCAAGCGTCGTTAATCTGCAACCCAGATTAGTCTGTCCACGTGTAATCAAATTAACCATAACAGTGATATTGACACATTTCGGTCCTCAAACGTTGGTACCACAAGGGGGACTGACTCACACGAGACACGTGCGAGGAGCGGCGCTAGGACACAGCATGCGCAAGTGGTGCTGTGTGTGTACCTGGCGTTCATTTCCACGACGTTGTAGCCGGCGTGATGCGCCACCACGTGCGCCAGCGTTGTCTTACCCAGTCCGGGAGGCCCACACAGCAGCACCACCTGGCAAGCGGTGGGAAGGGAAAATCCGGAAAAGAAAATAGATTTTTTTTTTTTTACAAATTAGTATAAAACGTGTTTTTCAACAAAATAGGATGACTTCATTTGATTGGTTCTGTTGGGAGGTGGAGTGTTAAAGTTAAAAAGTGATCTAACTAAATATTTTGGAACAGCCTTCTTTCTAGAACTGAAATTTGTCAAAATCACATCACTTGTTACATGTTTTTTTACTCTTCAGGCAGTATTAAACTAAACAATTTGTCTTTTACCAGGTAAAACCCACTGAACTATTAGCTCTTTTTCAGAAGTGACCTGGCCACAAGTGACAGCTCAACGAAGTGGCTTATCATGTCGAAATTTACAACAGTCAAATACTCTAAACGCATATTTCTAAACGCGTAGGGAGAAAAAGGAGGACCCGGAGAAAAATCCACGTGACCACGGGGTGAACATGCAAGCTCCAAATATACAGCAGGCGTCTTTAGGGTCGGGATCGAATACATGAACCTCTTGTATACCAAGCCCAACGACGTTACCGACAGACATGTTGGGTTTTGTCATTGGTACTCTTGGCCCACCGCTCACGCGGTACGATATCGTACACGGGTGCGTTTGTTTGACCTTGTACTTGGGACGGTTGTGTGCATCCAGCTCATCCTCCAGGATGTCCTCCGTGATCTGAGCTTTGCTCTTCCAGTTCTAACGAGACGCAACAATCACTCCTGATAATTAAGTACATCTGGTATTTACACCATTCTTATGGCACATGGATATTGTCAAAGCCCTATAGTCTGCAGCAGTTGCAAAGTCGCAGGCAATGTTGCTGTGCATAATTCCAAGAATAATTTGCGAGTACTTAATAAGAATTTGTTATTGTTACAGCATAAAGGCCAAAATGTGAAATATAATACATTTTAATACATTAGTGTCCATTTATAAATTAAAATTGGAATGTGTCGTACGTGTCTTGCAAAAGACACATTGCATCTCAAGGTGTTATTCAATTTTCCCAGGAAATCCTCACCGAGTCTCACAACTCTTTTTTAGGAGCGTCCTGCCTTGGAATGCTTGGCAAAATTCCATTGAATGACACGGCAGGGGGCGCAGTGTGCTGCGGTACCACCACACAATACGAGACCCAGGCGGCACGGCAATGAACACACCTTGTTGGTGCCGCCACCCTTGCGAGTCCAGCCCTGTTTCTTCTCCCACTCATCCCTCGGCAGCCACTCGCCCTTCTTTTTTTTCTGCCCCCACTGCTGCCTGCTGTCGCCCTGTTTCTTATGTTGCTGCTGCTCCTGCAGCTGCTCCTCGTTTGCCGTCACGAGCGGTGGCTTCTTCTTCCTCTCGCGGCCGAACACGACCATGTCCCACAGCTTGAGCCACTTGAGGAGGCAGCGGTTCATGTACTGAAGCACGGCAGGGTCAGGGGTGAGAACAGAGGGGTCAGGCACTAGGAGCGTACCGACGCATTTGTTCATCAACTACCGTATTTTTTCGATTGAAAGACGCCCCAGAAAGTAACACGTACCCCAAAGTCCCATGCCCGTTGACAATAAAGTTAGACTGAGTTATGCAGGGTGCTGGTTGTGCAGGGTATGATGAGTTGTGCATGGTGTTGGTTGATATGGTGCTGGTTGACAAGGTGCTGCCTGTGGAGGGTGCAGGGAGAGCAGGGGAATTCACATCGTCGCTGAGCAGCTCCGTGTAGTGCCGTGGGGTGAAACGATCGACCCAGAGCCCCTTGCTCTTTGTCCCATCGTCACCATCCACCTCGTCTCCGCCTCCATCATCATCACCGCCACCGCCCTCACCACCCAACTCCTCCGAGTCCTCGATCTCCTGAGCCACTCGGCTGTCATCCGAACCGCCAGGGTCAGGGGTCAAGCGTCGTCGCGGTGAAACGTTAACATATTTAAAACATCCATGAAAATGCAGGCTTAGTGACGCCACTAAAATACTCTGCAATTGTCAGTGCCTTTAAAACATACGTTCACATTTTTACAGTGTATTCATGATAAGCATTACTTGTGTCCATACCAGCTCGTTAATGAAATTGATGTATAAGGACAAGCGATTGCTTTCTTCAAAGTGTAAATTAAGCAAGTCCGTGTACGCACCTGTTAAGCAAAGTGACGAATCTCTCAGCCTCTTCCAGAACCTTCGCGTGCCTCTGCACATTTCAGACGGCACAAGGCGCGTAAACGATGAGATGCAACTATTTTTATTTTACCAGGTAAGGCCCACTGAGCTATATAGCTCTTTTTCAGAAGCGACTTGGGCTCTCACAAATGATTACTCAACATCGCTTGGAAATGTATAGCAACCAAATGGTTTGAAGATGGAGCCGCGACCTTGAGATTCATCACAGATTTATGCTCCGATTTAAAGCTTTCCTGACTGCAGGGATTCATCTTCTTGGTTTTTTCGGTAAAGTCACGTAGAAGGGAAGTAATAAAATAATAAAAATAAAACATAACAAAATAAAATAATTCTCTCTCTTGCGTTGTAGCCGAAACGTCGTGAGAATTATTTTATTTTATTATGTTTTATTATTTTATTATTTCCCTTCTACGTGACTTGACCGAAAGAACCAAGAAGATTTATGCTCATCAGAGAATTCTAGAGCTGAGCTCTCCGATTACACTGGTCTACAATGTTTTAGACGTGCTGAATTCAAATATGACAATTAGAACAACTGATGGGCTACTGTTCCCAAGATATACATTTTTTTACATTTTACGTCCATGTATATTGTGTAGATAGTAGAGTTTTACTCATACATTTTAAACCTACGTCTTTTCATGTGTTTATGGTTGCTTTACATGATAACATGTCACCTGTCCTGTTCATGTAACACTTAAAAAAATCAGCAAAATGGTTATATAAATATAATGTATTATGAAACAAAAGGCAAAAAACGATTATGTATAAATAAGTACAGAGTTTAGTCCTCATTCAGTGTCTACTCGGCGCTTCTTGGCTTGTCTCTTGTACCTACAGAGGGAGAGTACAATTTTCAGTTGTTCAATTGACTCATTGTTCCAACTCTACGAAAAGTCCACATTTTCACCAGGTGACTGCCCGTAAGAGGAGCCTTCTCCAACGACCCTGGAGAAGGCTGTTGTCCTTTCCCCGCACCTCCAAATAGCACGGTTGGCTACGTCCGGCACGAAAGATGTTCAACATACGAATATACATACAGATCGCAGCTGATAAGAGCAAGGTGTGTTGGACAACTCACCTCCCTAACTACTTGGTCTTTGAGCATCGCGAACGGCACGCTCAAAAGCTGCAGCGACATTTGGCTCCGGAAGCTCAAGTCTGGATTCTGTCAAAATACAAAAAAGTGCGCAGCTGCACACGATGACGAAGTTGACGAGAACATGAGATGGAAGCATTTTGCAGCCTGCAAAGCAAAACGGCTCTACTCTTGTAGATGTGCACCCAGACCAGTGATGGGCAACCTAGAGTGAGCCATGTGAGTGGTCTCCCTTCACCTCAGTGGGCTGCAAGCTTAAAATTGTGCGTGTGCACTAATCGTGACCCCACGCATACACGTGGAAACGGGGTGCATTTATCAAAACTGTACAAAATAATCACATAGTATATTGTACAATATCATGCCATCGTCATATTGCAGGTACTACTAATTTCGAGAATGAATTCGCATCTTTTTTCCCATTTTGGGATCGTCACATGACACCGGGTGTCATGTGACACTGATTTTCGCAGTAAAAGCACAGATGTGACGTAATGGTCACGTAACGTCAGAGGTCAAAATGGACCAGTACATGACGGTACGCCACACCGGCACTACTCAACACCAAACGTGTATCACGTGATCATTCCTGACAAATCCAAACCGATCTTTCGTTGTTGCTCAGAATGGTCCGAAATCTTGGATCGGAATAATCTTTATAATAACAAATCCCTGCGAGACTAGGTACGCTATCTACAAACTCAACAGCTGTGCGTCGTTGTGCGCACCATGGGAGCAGCGTGGCTGCTGCTGTCCGCACCCAGCGCCAAGTAGTAGCGGTCGCCACCCGGCACCGTCACGTTCACAAAGTCGTCCGTCACAGGCGGCCGCTTCAGGACCCGCTTCCTCGCCACGTCAGCAGCCACCGCGGCGGTCGCCATGGCGTCCGCGGAGGCGATCGATAACGCCTGCTTGGGTTGGCCGCCGCGTCTACTGCAGCACAAGTAATGCTTATTCCAGTTCATCGTATGGCAAGGTGAAATTTGCAGCTTTATTGGTGTATATTCTTAGGTTCTTTCGGTAAAGTCACGTAGGTAAAAAATAAAATTAATAAAAGTAAAATAAAAATAAAATAAAAATCACGACGTTCCGGAGGCAACACAAGCTTCCGTCTTCAGGTGGAACCGTCACAGCACGATAGCTGTATTTACTTGATACAGCTATAGTGACTTTACCGAAAGACCCAAAGAATATGAATTCCTGCAGTCAGGAGTATATAACGTGTGTGGAAGTTTCAGAGACCTCTATTTCATCTACTAACCCTCACCTCCAAAACGCTGGAATTCACAGGCCTTCGCCACTGCGCCTGGCTCACGGGGCCAAATGCGAGCGGTTTATTTTAAAGGTCCACCAGCATACTACTACTGGGCACCATGTCCTTGCGTGTCCGTGTGTGTATGTGTGCGCATATAAAGCACAGCAAGTTGGCACAGTAGGGGGCACAGGTGGTGCAACAGCCAGTCGTCTCAGTCAGTCGACCTATGGCATCTGGGTCTGCCCCGTGACCTCCAGCCAGCAGGCGTTTGACACTTCACGTGGCCTCAACGTGCACATAGCCTGGCACAAGTGTCGTGGTAACGTCACCGCCACTTAGTGGCGAATGGCGGTTGTTGTTGTTGTGTGCGCATGTGCGAAAGTGTAGCGGTTAGCAAACCGGGCGGCCCGAGTTCGATTCCCACTCACGGTCAACACCAGTGACGATTATCTGAACTGGTTCTGGGCCTCCCCAAGATCGACTCAGCCTCAAATGAGAACTTAGTGCAATGTGTAAACATTGCCACTGGGGAGACCAAGGCGACCGGGCATGGTGCTGGCCACCCCACCCCCTTGTATGCCATTTTGGCCTTAATAGGTGCTCGCTAACTACACTATAGTAGGGCATTTTTGCCTTTGTTGTGTGTGCACAAACGAACGCGGACGCACTCTGCCAGTACGTCGGGTGGGGAGGCGTCGAGGTCGTGGAAGCCGCTGAGGTCGTTGTCGTTGCTCCCGCTTGACTCATCCCCGGGTTGGGAGGCCACTGGTTCGGTGGGCGCAGGTTTGGGCAGGAGATCGGCCGTAAATTCCAGCCGCTTGATGGCATCCAGTCGGGGCCTCTTGCGCTTGGGCGCTGCACAAAGGCAACCACGGGGCGGATTAGTCTTGGGGCCTACTTGCTGCAGCACTGCATCTGGGTTTTCCCTCCATATATAAAGAAACATGTGCTTCGAGTATTTGGCTGCGATAAATTTGCACATGATGATGAGCCACTTCGTTGCACTATCATCTGTGGCCAGGTCGCTTCTGAAAAACAGCTGAATAGCTCGGCAGGTCTTACCAGGTAAAATAAAATATAGGTTATAGTTTATAGTATTGACATGAACATGCTGTCCTGGAGGTGAATATCTGATGCAAAAGCTCCACCACAGACATGGCCACACCTAGTGATAATTCACAGCAGGGCCTCTGGTGAATATCGCCAACTTTATTCCAGGCGCACTTGTAATGGTCTCGACACCTAATCTCCGAAAACGCGTTTTAATGTTCAGTTCAGGCTGCTTTGCAAGGCAACCCTGTGGAATACCTTAGAAGAGATAAGCCTAGAGATAAAAAAACAGAAGACAAAAAAGGGAAAGTGCCGCCCAAAAACCCAAAATGTCAAGTGGCCAGTAACACACAGTACTATTGAAGGTATAACATATCAAAGTTAATGGATTTATTGAATTGAGCAATGATAATAATTTACATCTGTAAGGCATATTTCATCCGTAAATCTCAATACGCCATGTAAGGAAAGCAGGAAACCAACAGAACCAGGGTAAACGGTGAGAACTAGGTGGTTAAAGGCCAGTTTAAATAGGTGAGTTTTCAAGACACCAAGGAAGTAAGAACGTACGAAAATAAACTATTGGACCTGAATTCGACCGTCAAACAGTCTGAAGCAGTCTGAAGGAAGAAGCCGAAAGAGAAGTGTTTGTGACCTGCAGTGTGCTGGTTGAACAGAGTGTGGACGAGACGAAATGGGTCAGTCGGATAGATCGAGCCCTCAGCATTGAGTGTGACCTGCGTGCAGTTGGTTGGTGGTGGGTGGGTCGGTGCGTTCTCACTGGTAGGGGCTCTGACCGCGCTCGCCAGCATGTCTTCTGCGTCCCTCTTGCTGGGGTGGATCTCTCTGGATCCGGGGGGATTCGTGGAGGCCCCGACGTCCCCCGACTGGAGGGCCTCCTCGAAGGACGTGGGCTGCACATTGCGACGGGCGACCCGAGGCTCTTCCTTTTTTCGGTTCGACTCTGCGAGTATAAATGGCAGCAATTCATCAGACAGGACTGGAGAGCAATGACCAACAAGACACGTGGGCCAGCGACCTCCATCTGACGCGAAGAAAATATGATTGCGATGGTAAATGGCACGGTCTAAACAGAAGAGAGCTCTTATTAGCATTTCCCAATAAAGGTTGAAAGTACATAAAACGCATTATTTGGTTCTTTCGGTTAAGTCACGTCTAAAGATAAAATAATAAATTAAATTAAATAATAGCATTATTATTTTATCTTTAGACGTGACTTAACCGAAAGAACCAAATAATAATTCCTGCAGTCACGAAAGTTCTAAAATTAAGATTAGTCCATAAAACGCTTTTTTTGGGTTAGATCACGTAAATATACGTGTCGTTTACCTGTCACCACCCGATGCAGCCAATTAGTAAGGTTTGTCACGTAACCAAAACGTGCCAATTACTGACTAGTTCAGCACACCGGCGTGTTGAAAGAGAAACTCACAACATTTACAATGTTAATGCATTCGCTGTCTGTCTGCAGAGGGGGTTGGGGTCACGATATTTCTCGAAGAGATCACCCAACAAATTAGTTTCAAGATGTGATGTAATTAGGGACTTACCCTACAGAAACCAGATAGGGTGGAAATCCACATTTAATTTGTGTGCGGAGACAGAATAGAGTTCTGTTTATGTAGTACTGTGTACGCTTAATCCAGAATGCTCCATAATGCGCAAGCCAGCTCGTTTGTATACCTGTCAACCCCTTATCAGTGCCGCCTACCTTATTAGACAAATTCAGACCTTATTGGTCACCCCGTGCCCTTATTAATCTGAACGTCATCCTACAAAGTCCATCACAAGGGGAGAATCAAAATAGACAACAAAAATGTGTCCGTATTAAAACGGCTGTACGCAGCATGGACCTGCAAACTCAATATGGGTTGATAGGCATGCACTATACTACCATACCTGTCAACCTCTTATAAGTACCTAGCTTATTACAGACAAATTCAGATTTTATTGGTCACCCCCGTGTCCTTAACTGATTTTTTTTAATAATTGCCCTATTAAAACGGTTGTACGCCGCATGACCTGCAAACTCAATGTACACCTGCACAAGAATACGGGGTAACAGTGATGGGATGACACGGTTATTATGCGTTTGGGTCGTTTCAGCCCATCATCACGAGTTCAAATGTGCGGGTCAACTCAGCAGTGCTTGCCCTATGGATTGTCCTCGCCATAGGAATGCGACATCTCCACCACTGGCTCTGCCAGGGTTCAACGTTCGCTCGTGACCTCTGCGGGTCTGGGGCAGGCCACGTGGCGAGAAGGGAATATACAGATGGTCCAGAACCAACGACGTGGTTCATTGTGGATTAGAAGTTTTCGTGACTGCAGGGATCCATACTCTTTGGTTCTTTCGGTAAAGTCACGTGGGTAGAAAATAAAGTAAATCACGACGTTTCGATTGCAACACAAGCAATCAAGAACATGTTCTTGCTGTGGGGTTCCCACCTGATGATTGTTGCTGCTTGTGTTGCAATCTAAACGTCGTGATTTAATTAATTATACCTCCGTGACTTTACCGAAAGAACCAAAGAGCAACGAAGTGGAGTCAATTATAATTACGACAGCGCCATTATAATTATTATTCCATCGTCTGAATCAAGAAGCGTGACTTTCTCTCTCTCAACGTGCTATGAAGGGGCCATTGCCAGAAACGTCGTCTATTATACAGCATATATATTCCTTGCAAGGCCACATAACCGTGTTAGTGATGGGAGTCTATTTTGTATTTCACTTTGGTTAAGAACAGTGGTAGCCGAGGGCCAGGCAAACATCAGAGGGTGACGTCCAACGCGAGGAGATGGAGCGACGAAATGATCTGGCGTTGCAGTTGGGTGGCTTGGGGGCAGGGAAGGCCTTCATCCAGCGGCAGATACAGCACGCACCGTGGTCGCGCTCCATCAACACTTCCAACTCGTCCGCGAACTCGTCCTCGAACCCGTCGAAGTCGTCCCATTCGGCCATGGCGAGAGAGTTGCTTTCCTCTTACGAGGCTCGTGTACGCGTAAATGTGAAATGTTGCGATGTTTATAAACGACAACGTTCTACGGAGGCTGCTGCTTGCTGCTGCTGCTGCGGCCGCCACCGCCGCCGTCACCGCGAATTTGGCGGGAAAACTTTGCGCGCGAAGTCTCCGCCCACGACGCGCCTGCTGATTGGCTCGTGGCTCCGCCGTGAGCGTCGCGATTGGCTGCCACGAAAGCCACGTGGGCGCGACGGATGAGTCTTTGGGAAGTAGCAAGATGGCGTCGCCCCCCCCACCAACACCCCCCGTCCCCCCCCCCCGCCAAGAACCCCCCCGTTCACCCCCCCCCCGCCAACAACCCTCCCCCCGTCATCCCCCCCCCGCCAACAACCCCCCGTCAACAAACACCCCGTCATCCCCCACCCGTCAACAACCCCCCCCTGTCATCCCCCCCCCCGCCAACAACCCCCCCGTCACCCCCCCCCCGCCAACACCCCCCACCAGCCAACAACCCCCCCCTGTCATCCCCCCCCCCGCCAACACACCCCCCCCCGTCATCCCCCCCCCGCCAACAACCCCCCCGTTCACCCCCCCCCGCCAACACCCCCCCCCGTCATCCCCCACCCGTCAACATCCCCCCCCGCCAACAACCCCCCCGTCCCCCCCCCCGCCAACACACCCCCACCCGCCAACAACCCCCCCCCTGTCATCCCCCCCCCCGCCAACAACCCCCCCGTCACC